GCCCCTGCGCTCGCCCCCCGCCGCCGCCGCCGCCGCCGCCGCCGCCGCCGCGCCCTTCTTCGCCTCGCCCTCCTCCAAGAGGACCTTCCTGCAGGCTTACTTCAGGAACTTCAACCTCTCCTTTTGTGATACTTACACGATCTGGGACCTGCTGCGGGAGATGGCCGGCCCCGACGGCCTGGACTGCAGCCTGGACAACCTGATGGTGGACCTGGTGGTGGCGGCGGCCGGGGCGCTGGGCGGGGAGGCCTGTAGCAGCTGTGTCCAGGCGTACCAGCGGCTGGACCAACACGCTCAGGAAAAATACGAGGAGTTCGACCTCTTGCTGGAGAAGTACTTGCAATCGGAAGAGTACTCGGTCAGATCGTGCCTGACGGACTGCAAGGTATGAGGGGGTGAGCTGGGCCACAGAGGTATCGGTTGCGTGGGGGTACCGTGATCACTGTGSCCCCACGCCTGTCTGCAGGCTGGGGTCTCCCTCTGGTTCCCAAACCTCTCCTGGCAGTGGTGGTGGAAGAAGTCCAGAGCCTTCAGAAGGCTGAGACAGGGTGGTGGGACAGAGAAAGCAAGGCAGAACTTGGCGCATCCCTTCACACCTGTGCACACACAGGCAGCTCCCGACATCCCACTCCCAACACTCCGTTCTCAGCACCCTGCTTCAAACACCTCACTCTCAACACTTCAATCCGAGCACCCCACTCCTGACACCCCAATCCCTACCAGCCTCACCCACACCTCTTTCCGTGTGCTCCCCTATGCACACAAGAACTGAGCTGGGGCAGGCGTGGGGCCCCTCACCTCTGCCTCAGACCTGCTGCTGCTCGTGGGACAGCCCACGCTCTCGCTGGCTGTCATTAGACCAGTGGTGACCTGAGATGAACCATGGTGCCAGGGCTCCTTCCCTGTACACAGCAGCTGCTTTCTTGTTCATCCACCTCTTCTGCCCAGGGAGCTGGACTTAGAGGTGCTGGTATGTGCCTCCCCCTTGGTGTTCCCCCCAATATCACTGACTGCCCAGTCCTGGGGCACAGTCCGTGTTCTGAAAGCCGATGGTTTAGTTTCCTCTCCAGCATCAATGGGATTGAGCCTCAGCATTGTGCTGTTTCCTTTCACAGATGAGAGTTGTGGTCAGGTCTCCATCAGAGCCCCCCATGTGATTCTGCTGGATGCTCCATTCTTACAAGCCCTTAGTGCCACCAGCCTCCACCTGCTCCAGGGTGCCTGGCACACCTGTGCATGCTCCCTCCGGATGTCACCTCTGGGAAGCACAATGGTCTCCATAATTAAAYCTGCTTCCTTTTATCGGAGCTGTGTCTTGGGGTGTGTGACAGTATTGTTCCCCACAGGGACAGTGGCAGRACTTCCCTCCTGGTAGTAGAACAGAGTTGGCTGCTCCTCTTTTGGGACAGGAGTTTTGAGAGACACTTGGAGCTGCAGGGCAGCTCTTGAAGTGATGTTCATGCCCTGGGAAAGTGCGAGAGCAACACCAGGAGCAGCACTGGGACACCGAGGTGGTGTCTTATGCCAAAGGCATGTTGGTGAGATTCTGGCCACCACTCCAAGGGTCRCTTTTGTGAGGAGCTGGGTTTGGACAGGAGCTTGTGTTGGTGTTCTGGGCCCAAGCCAAGCCAGGTAATTACAATCTGCTTTCCCAAATTCCCCCTGTGGTTTCCAAGGGACGCAGTATTCAGCCTACTCCGAGTAGTTTGGTCCCGCTGCTCCGCTTCCACAGGGAGTTTGGTGCTGTCCATTGTGCTGCTCCTCCTGGGGGCTTAGCAGGAGCAGGGTCTCCCTGTGCTCCCCGGTGGAGCATAGATATTCCAGCTTCAGGCTTAGCTTGCATCTCTGCTGTGAGACCCAGAGAGAGAAGAGAAGAGAAGAGAAAGAGGTGAGAAAATAATTATTGTGTTGGGTCTCTAAAATATGTAGAAACAGAGCCGTGCTTCAATGAGTCTCCATTAAGCGTCTCTGGATTTAACATCCTTGGTGGGAGAGCAAGCAAATATTCTTGGGAGATGCAGAGCTGAAAGCAGTGGCAGGACTCGTACCTCTGAACTGTCTCCGTGTTGTGTCAGTGCATCCTTAGAGCATCTGTGAGCTCCAGCTTTGCATTCCACAGGCAGCACTTGGGAAGCAACAGGAGGCACAAGCAGCAGGGATAACCTGTGCACACTCCTCTGGGCCACCCACAGGGAAATTCCCATGGGAGTGCCYGAGACTGCATGCTCCCATCTGAGCCCTCACAGCTCCCATCCTTTCGGTTCCTCCTGAAAATCAGGCTGCTTCATTTAATGCYATTCACTCCATATTTAGGTGCCTTACTCCAGCTTTTCACGTCCATGAGGCTCAGCTTTTCCTTCTCAGTGCTTGTTCCCCATCTGTGAATTAAGGCTAATGCTAGACTCCTCCAGCCTTGTGGTGACGAGTGAGTTTTGGCCTGTTTTTGAGCCCTCTGGACTTGAGCAGGGTCTGCAGTTACTCATTGCTTTGGAAAAATGTGGCTGGTGGGATTTTTGAGGCTGTCTGAATTTGTCATTTCCATCCAGATGCTGGATAATACCTTTTTGTGAGGGATGGCAGAGCTATTGCTCGATGGTGAYAACATCTGAGAGTAAATGACAGGAAAACAGGAGAGGAGTAGAGGAAAACAGAATGGAATGTGCAGCTCAGCCAGTCTGAGAGCTCCTGCAGAGCCCTCCCAGCAGGCTTCTGGCTGCAGAGCTCTGGAGTTGGAGAGACAGGATTTAAAGGATAATTCTGGGACACGGGACTGTGGGAGCAGGGCTGTGCATGGAGGGTTAGTGCTGRTTCCCATTTGCATCCCTGCCATGCYGTAACAGCAGCTGGAAAATTGAAGGTGTGGAAGCACAGCAGCTCCAGCTCACCTGCACACAGCCTCCCTCTGCAGAGCCACAGATCCCTCTGAAATTTGGTCCCTAAGAAGTRTGGTTCAATAGACAGCTCACAGGGAGCTCTGTGGCAGCCAAACCAGTCCATTTTGGCTATTTATTCCACCCAATTTCAAACAACAGCAACACCAAATCCCTACCGGAGCTGCCAGTTCCTTCCTATGGCAGYAGGTTTGACCCCGACCTAAAAACTTGGGAGCATGTGAGCACTGTGGATTGGTTTCAGAAGACACATAATTCCCTGTTAATAAATCACCCTGAGAGCTACCCTCAGGTTTGGGGGGAAAAGGCAGGTGGTGCTGGCAGTGGAAACTGCATCCTAAGCATCCCAACCCCAAATCCGTCTGTACCCAGAGTWTGGGGAAGACTGGACCAGAGTTTCCCTAGGAGAGAGGAATCCCATGAAATGGTGGGGTTCGTGTGTAATTCAGCTGCTGAGATTACTCAGTGCTGTCATACTCTCCCTTTTTATGTTCTGCTTGGGGATCATTCCTGGACAGATCCCACTTTCTGCATATGTTGTTATTCCCATGCAGCTTCCAAATCATTCCCTGGAAATGCTTTACTTGTTACTCTTACAACTAACCCCAGAAATGCCTGTGGGTGAGAAACAATGAACCATGAAGATGCACTTTTTATTGGGGTTTATTGTTTGCATTTCCCATTTGGTGGGATTCTGGGGGTCTGACTCTCACTGAGACCCTCATGGACAGGAGCCCCGGCGTCCTGTGGACAAAAGGGAGAGAGGGAAGTGGGTCCACAAGGTGCATCCATCTTCTCAAATGCATTTCACCTCTTGCTGTGAGGATCAGCYTGCCAGCTGCTGGGTCATGGTGCTAGGTAGGGATGATGTGGATTAAAGGTGGAAAACGCCTGTGTTTTTCTGAGCATAAGTGGGAAAAGTCATTAACTGAGTCGGGAGCAGCTGCCGGCAGCCTCCATCTCGTCTGTTCCTGTGTCACTTGTACCCTGTGTCGCTGCAAGCACAATGAACTTGGTGCACCAAGCAGTTGTGGGGATACTTGGGAGCATCCTCGAAAGGGGCTCGAGGAGGTCACAGCCCAGGGACACAGATATTGGACTCAAATATCCATCAGGAAATAGGAGGCGGCAGCAGCACTCAAACTCTCAGCYCAGGCTTTGCAGGACTTAATGCAGGTGGAAATCCCTGTCTCTCCAGAGCAATGCCCCAAGGGATGCCTAGGGCTGGTTTTTGCCTTTTTTCCATCTTTCCAACCTGGAAAAGAGCTGTGTTTCTCTGGCTCAGCCACCAGATGAGAGCTTTGCTCATGCCAAGGCCGAGCTCTGCATGCTGGCTCCCGCCCCAACAGCTTCTGAAAGTGCCCCCTCCCACCATTCCTGGGGCAAATCAAGATCTATGGGACAAAGCCTGTGGAATTAAGGAGTCATTAGGCTGTGAGAAACAAAGCTTTGGAGAGAGAAGGGCTGACAGGCAGGAGGRGCTGGCAGCAGAGCTGGGCAGGCYGGGCTGGACAGGACCTGTAGCATCTCAGATGTGATTAGATTATCAGGTTTCTCTGCACACGGGCCCCTGGCTGTGGGATCTGGTTCTGCACCTCTGGTTTCCCCAGTACCCCTGGCAGGGCAGGATTTCTCTCCTGAGGCTTTGCCAGTGTTTCCATGCTGCAGGTGTGCAGTGATGTGGTGAGAGATGGAGGCTGTTCCTGTTCWGCCATCACCCSTGGMACAGCCCACKTGGAGCAGGGAGCAAATCCCCAGTRCCYRGGTTCAGCACYCTCTGGGTCCTGTTTTCTGGCTCTTGTTTAACCTGGAGTATCATCCACAGAGATGCATCCCTATGGAGCATCCCTCCCTATGGAGCTTCCTCTGGAAACCCAAGTCTGCYGGGGTCAGGAGCTTTGGGAACACCRKRTMTTGGRGTTATCCCAGTGCCAGGGATGCCTCYTGGGGGAACCAAAGCAGCATTTTAACCTTCACAAACGTAGCTCAAATTGAGTTTATTTGGGCTGGGCTTATTCAAAATGCTGCTCAATCTGATATGCTCCTGCTCTGAGCATGGAAGGCTCCTTGTACAGAGGGAAGGCCCCTTGAGAACCACAGCAAAAGTGGTTTCACCAAAACCTTGTGCTTTTTTGAGGAGTGGCATTTATATTGAGGCTTCCAGAGAATGTATGAATGGGTGACTGCAAAGCTGCACACTGATCTGGTCCCCTCTGGAGTATTTGCTGCACCAGGAGCAGCAGCATCTGGCAGGAGAGAGGCTACTCCCACACACCTTGTTAGCTCTGGACCTTCTCATCCAGCACCAGCTTAGCCAGTAAGGTGGAGTTTTACTGGCATTTCATGAGGTGAAAAAAGGTTCCAGAGTGAATTCCAAAGTGATTCCAGTCATTTGGCAGCTGGAGCAGGAGYATGTGCACACGCTTAGCCAAGTGTGCAGCTCCACGTTCCCCACCCATTCCGTGGGAGCAAAGGGAACTTTTTGCAGCCCAGC